TGTGCAGTTCCCAGGATCAGCTGCTGCTAAACTTCTGTTCATGCCACTTTTCCAGCCTCAGCAAAGAGCAGTAACTGCTGAGTAACTTCAGATGCTCAGCTGGTCCCACACATAAACAGACCTGTCACAGCCCCTCTAAGAGTGAGGAGTAAGTACTGGCACCCTGCTGTAACTGCTCTGGGATAGAAGGAGACATTGGGGAAAACTCCAGTAAAGACCACTCTGAATGAACACACTGTGATCATGTGCATGATCTTCTTCCCAAGCCACATGAAAAATTTGAGAATTCTTGTGGTCAGACATTTTCAAAGCCGTAACGCAGAGAAGACATGAAGTACAATGTCCAAAGATGAATGAACACTTGGAGCAAAAGGTTTTTAGAGACAGCAACTCGAACAGTCAAAACCAATTGCAAAATAATTTTCAAAAATATTTTAAGAAATAACACTTGAGGTTTGATTGTGCTCTGCTTGATTTGTTGGGTTTTTCTAAAGTGTTAACTTTATTTCCCTTTTAACTGTAACATCAGTCTAACTTTTGAGACAAATGTGATAGAAAACCTTTGTGAAATGGTTTGATTTCACAGCACAGATGACAACTTTAAGCTAGGAACTTTTGGCAAAGCTAAACAACAGAGATCATGCCAGGTTGTCCCAAGAGCGCGTTTACTGCTGTGAACTGAGTTAAAGCATATACTTCTATCACAGTTTTATTTCAGAAATGTTTCTGAAAGAGCTTTTCCTTGATGTACACCCTTCTGAAACACGAACAGGCTCTGTGGTGTTCCCAGCCCCACAAACGTGTCCCACCTCCCGAGGCTCCCCGGATACGCGCGCACCTGCTCCTGCAGCCACCGAGCAGAACCACAGAGCCCACATTGACGTGGTTTGCATCCTGCAGGGCTCACGTTTCCTCGGCTTCCTGCCTGCTGAACAACGCCTTTCTTGTTGCACTTTTGTCATTCTAAATGCCCCTGGTATGACAGGGCAACAGATTCATTTCCCTTTCAATGAAAGTACTGTTTTTCTATTAAACATTGTGTCTTCTGAATATAAATGGAAAATTTTCTTAAATGCTCAGATTAAAAACACCCTTTGGAGTCACATTAAAACATGCAATGTATAAAAAGCTCACAAGCAGTGGTGGTTTGATGAGTTTCTCCTTCCTTCAGTGCCTCACACTGCTGGTGTCCCTAAAGCTGGGTTCTGTCACCCCATGTGCAAGAGCCAGCCCACACGCCGAGTCAGGAGACTGGGTTTTATCACCATCCTGCAGAGCAAGGTGCCAGGGCCCTCACAATCCTGGCACACCTGGGAAACAAGCACAGGCTTGTATACAAAAAGGTAACCCAGAAAAATGACATAGAAACGGGTGATTGTTCACTCACACTTCCATCATGTAATTCTTAATGTGCATCTGATGTCTTAATCCAGCTCACTACACCCTCATTCACACAGACAAATTTCCCTGAGGGGCTGTTTTTAGCATTATAATACTCTAAGGTAACTTCGGGCTGCATTTTTATCCTATCAGCTACCACCAAGTTAATATTTAACCTTACACTTGATTAAAGTTTCTGCATGAATCTGTTTGAACAATTGTCAACAAAATAGGGATTTCTAGGGGCTCCATTGCCCTGCACCCTGCTCTCACAGTGTCAACTTGCTGTGAACTTGCTGTGAATTTTGTAAACTTCATCTGACGTCACTACTGCAAGAATTCACACAGAACCCATTCATTTTATACAAATGTCCAGTCCAGTGAATGTCCAGTCCTGGCTGCAAGACTTGCATGTGGCATGGACTGAGTGAGTCCTGTCCCACTCAGGATAGCCCAGCAATCTGTGATTCCCCCTGTGGAAACCTGCCTGTGTCATCAGCCCTTTGCTGCCCTGCAGAGCACATCTGGGGTAGCTGCTTTAGATCCAGGTGACAACATTTTTGGCACGTGTGCTGGGTTGGATGCACTGCCCTTACTAAGAATGAAGACCTGAAGATCCTTCTGCCCCAGCCTGTTTGTCATTTAAGTTTTCAGTAAGGGACAGACCGAGCACTACAACAAGCTTAGAGCAAAGTTCAAAGAGGCCAGGCAGTTGCCGGTACATCACATACTTGCTCTGAAAAATGTGCAGTTTTAGATGTGGTAACTCCTGGGTTTAACACTTGTGAGATGTTGGAGCTCTTTGCAAACTGCCCTTTTGTCCCACCACAACCACCAGCTGTCACTGAGGTGGCAAACGGGGACAGCCACCCAGCCCAGGGGGAATCCCCCCTCGAGGGCTGTGTGTCTGAGCTGGCTGAGCTCCACACACCCTCCAGGGGAGACTGGCCCTGCTTCCAGGCATCAGTGGACACATCAGGAACCAACTGCCAGACTGAAGGCATCCCAAAAGATGTATTCCCATTCTTTCATACAAATTAAGTTAGCAAAGAGATGTTTAGCTCATCAATATACATTGCTTCTTAAAATAAAAGGAGGTGATGTAAGAAAAATGATAAGAATTCACGTGAAAAAAGAAAAATAATCTAATTGTAAGTTCTAAAACAGCACGTAATTATTCCACAAAACTACACTTATCATAGAAATATTTGCATTTTACCTGGAGAATAAAGTTTTTCTCATTACTAAAAATAAATCTCAGAGGAAAAGAGAAATATGAGCCAGTTTTTAGCACTTCTTGCTTTCTCAACAGGACAAATACAGCAATTTTAATTACTAATAATGCTGCTCACTATCTCCTGTTTTTTCAATATATACATGTTGAGGAAGGTATTTTTAGTCTCTCAAAGTCTGTACCTGTTGAAACCTTCCCCTCCCTTCTCACCCCACATTAAAAAAAAAACTCAGTGATGAGTCAGAAAAAAATCATCACACCTTAAAAAGGAGAAATGCTAATTCTGTAACAGTTTAATTTCTCAAATTCAGTGTGACAGGAATATCACCTGTTCTAGCATAATTTTAAGAAATTAAGGAAGAATACTTACAGTTCACAGTTCATCTCATTCTCTCAATAAATAGAAATGGAAAGATATTGCTTATCCACTCAAGGTACTTCAAATCCTGTTTGGAGACATGATTATCACAGAATCATGGGATGGTTTGGGTTGGAAGGGACCTTAAGGCCCATCCAGTTCTCCACTGGCAGGGTCACCTTCCATTTGACCAGGTGGTTCCAAATCCATCCAGCAGATTTTACTGCAGAACATGCGTTAAACACAACATATTAATGAGAACTGAATTTCTGACAAGGAGACATTTAAGCAAGAAGGTTATAATTTCACACTGAATAAATTATTTTTCTCTTTACATCGAGAGAAGCTTCTCTTCTCCAGAAAGAGCCTCTGGGCAGGAAGCTCATCCCCTTCCGCACCTGAAGGAAGTTGTTTGAAGTGTCTAAAATGGGAACCAACTACCTGTACTGCAAGAACTTTCAGATAAAACACAGACATACAGAAGCCATGGATGCTGGATTCTAGCAGCAGTAGTCCTGCTTGCTCTTCACTGTTGCTCACAGATGTTTGTTGTTCATGACTAATTATCCTCTATCCAGAATTCCAACAGAAAAACAGAAAAAAGAGGAATTAAGCCAACTGTAGTAACATAGTTGTTTTTATTTGACTGCCATGGCAGAAAGTAGACAAGTCATAAACTCAATTTCTTATTCTGCCTCAAATAGAGCATAATTGTTTCTAGAAAAACACCTAAGGACATCTTTGTGATGTTAGAAGGGAAAGGGTGGGAAGCAGGAACAGGATAATTGTGCTCACTCCAGGGGAGCAGGGAAACAGGAGGAATTACTGAGAGCAACTCTGAGCAAGAAGGTAGTTTTAATTCATTCCTATCAGAGGTCCATTCCATTTCCAAACGGTTTCCAGCTTGAGTCAACCCAAAATTAGATTATATTGCAAACTTCTAAAGCAAGATGTAATACCTCATTTAAACTTACACAATCCAATGTTCTTGCCAGCATGACAGGTATTAATTAAAAAAAGGTAATTTTGCAACTGGGTGGGGGGGGAATGTGGAAGCAAGAGTTGTTAATTTTGATTCTCTAGAAATAAAGAGGGCTGAAACACTGATAAAAAAGAAACACAATCATCTCACCATTCACAGGAAACAGGTGAGGTGCTGAAGTCTAGAACTTCTGACATTTACTAGAGAGTCAAAGCTGACTCATTAACTCATTATAATTCATTAACTCTGGCAAAGACTAGAGATATTTATGGATTGAAACCCAATGTATTACTGAAAAAAGCTCATCCCTGAAAAACGGAGGCCTGCAATCAATTCCACACACAGCAACTCCTTTAGTCACTTCATCAAGGATGGGGACTGTCCCACTCTGCTCTGCACTGGGGCAGCCTCACCTCCAGGGCTGGGGGCACTTTGGGCACCACGAGATCAGAAGGATCCAAAGCTGTTGGAGAGTGCCCAAAGGAGGGACACGGAGCTGGGGAAGGCTCTGAGGAGCGGCTGAGGGCACTTGGCTCGTTCAGCTGGAGCACAGGAGACTGAGGGGAGGCTCCTCGGGGGCTGCAGCTCCTCCCCAGGGGAGGCAGAGGGGCAGGGGCTGAGCTCTGCTCTGGGACAGGGACAGGAGGCCAGCAAGGGCTGGAGCTGTGCCAGGGCGTGGCATGGAGCTCAGGGAAAGGTTCTTGCTCCCGAGGGTGCTGGCACTGCCCAGGCTGCCCAGGGAATGGTCCCGGCCCCAAGGCTGCCAGAGCTGCAGGAGCGTTTGGACAGCGCTGCCAGGGGTGCTCAGGGTGGGCTTGTTGGGGTGGCTGGGCAGGGACAGGGGCTGGGCTGAGCATCCCTGAGGGTCCCTTCCAGCTCAGGAGATCCTGTGTTTCTATGGCTCAGGTACCCTGATCGCTGTCATGGAGCCAGAGCTTCACACGGGCTGCAGTGCCAAGGCAAAGCAAACCCTGGCACCCTGACTGTCTGTTGGCCACCAGCCGGAACACATCAGAGTCACCAGTGGCATCTGTGTGTCCGCACAGCTCCGGAGCCTGAGGCCGGCCGGCCCCGCCGGGCTGCGCCCCGCGGCCTGCAGAGGGAGCCGCGGCCGGCCGGCACAGCCGTCAGGGAACCGCAGAACGCCCACACGGAGGAGAAAATCATGCAGTGGTGATAAAGCGACTGTGTGAAGTCATAGAGGTACTGCTTGGTAATAAGCACATTGTTGGAGGTTAGGAATTTTCCTTTTATTTTTCTTTCTGTCAGGGAATTTTCTCCCATTTGTTGCCTGATGGTCAGTGGCGATACTTCAGAGATAAAAAATGAGCTGGGAGGAGGAGGAGGAGCAAGGGTGCAGTTTACTACCACCCCTTAGCTGGGGGGCTTTCTCTTGGGAAGGGCAGAGACACCGAGATTCTGGCCGGGCTCGAGGGGCTGGGCTCGGCTCCTCGCTCGCTCTCGGGCCGCGGGGGAGCCGGGCAGGCCGCGGCTGTGGGGAGAATTCGCTGCCACGGCCGAGTTCTGTCCTGCACGGCTTTCTACTTGTGCGTGAGCTGCTGCTCTCAAGAGCAGCTGTTGAACTGGGATCTTTCCAACACCCCACCTCACTGGGAAGGGGATCCCTCAGGAGGGAGCGTCTCGGGCTGCTTGGGGCAGCTGCTCGTGTGTGTCCTTGGCAGACACCTGTCTTTCAAACCAAGACACATTCAGATCTGTCCAGCAGGATATCCTGTCTCCAATGGTGCTTACAAGCAAATGCTGAGGAAAGAGGCAGCACAGAATCCTCCCTCACAAGTCCCTCTGCTTCAACTGTCAGCCGCCAGAATAACCCAAGCCTGTCATAATTTGTCCTTTGGTAAAGCTCAGAACATCTCTGAGCACTTGCTCAGTCTGCTCTTTTTTTCCCGTTTAACTTTCTGTAGGCGAAACATCCTTGAGCATCCCACAGATACAGTGCCTATTCTTGGGATCCTCGCCCCCTCCCTCTGCGTGGAAGCCATCTCCTCACAGCCTCACTGGCAGCCCAAGCTCGTGCAGTACAGCAAACAATCAGTTCCTATTCAGTGGCTTTGTGCCACTTCAGATCCAGTATTTGGTTTAAATCATCTCTGCAGGTTGAAGAGTTCCAGCCTGCACAGCCATTGCTGCAATGGCAGCTCTGCTCTGCTTTTGATTATCAAAAATGTTTTTTGTTATAGTCACCAGCCCCAGGCCCTCCCCACTTCCTAGATAACTTCTCCAAGAATCACAGAATTGTTAAGGCTGGAAAAGACATCTAAGACCATTAAGTTCAACCATCTACCCAGCTCCAGCACCATGCTCACCACTAACCTATGTCCTCAGGTGCCACATCCAGGGATGGAGACTCCACCTCTGCCCTGTGTCAGGACCTGACAACCCCTCCTGTGAAGAAATGTCTTGAAGACAAGAGGAAGAGAACTGCATGCCATCTGTATCCTGAGTGCAGGTGAATCACTATAATTACACAAAATAGTAGCATAATGTCTCTGTCCTCTGGTTTTTTTCTTAATGTCTGACATTTTATAAGCTAATGCTCTGCAACATCATAAACTCCAATATTTTGCTCCTGAGTGGTGATGGCCAGCATAGTTTCTCATCTTGTGGAAAAGCCAGGAGAGTTTCCCCCAGGCTTTACTTCTGTATGTTAACTATTCAGTCATGCATGATGGCTTCCTGTAACTCCTTACATCTGCCCTACAGAACCATGGATTATGTCACCTCCCTGCTCATCTGTTTTTCAGATAATAAATATACTGGCCCAGACCTCACTGTGAAGTTTAAAACACACTGTGTGACTCATGCCACACCATGTCACCAGCATTACTTCCTATAATCTAGCCAAAATAGCTCTTCACACAAGAGGGAGAATTCAACATAAAACCCACCAGAAACAACCCAAATATCTTAATCTCCAACCAATTCATTCCAAATTTCACTGTGGTTCTAATGTACATTAACACATAGAGGCAATTTGTGTGCTGGATCCCAGCACCTCTTACAGCCAAGAAATTAAGATTCAATTAATATCATAGTATTACAGAGCTGTAAGTGATACATGTATTCCAAGAACATTATATGTACAATTTTGTTTTCCTAGTGGTCCATGAAAACTATGGGAATTGAAGTCTTCAGTCCTAGAAGGGATTTCTCCCTGTTTGAACATCACAGTTTATTCCAAGAGGTAATCTGGTGACTCCATGGTTCTCTCCCTTCTCTACACTACAGGCACAGCCACCATTTCAAACAACCTTTCCTAGCTTAAAACCCTTACTGACAATCTTGATTTGGGGCAAGAATAACAAAAGGTGGCACATGAGGTCTACAGACTTGCTATCAGTGGCATTAAACATGGAGCAGGTAAAGAATTGTTGCGGTGGGCAAGGAGGGCTTATCATTGGGAAGTGTTTATTATGGGAGCTGGATAATGGTCCTGTTCTTTCCCTGTCCTCTGCAGAACTACTCCTGTGACCATGGAGCATTCAGCAAAGGTTATGAGCATTATCTGTTACAGCACAAGTATCTCTGCCTTTGATTGGAGCTCCTTGACAGCTCACAGGACTCCTTCCTCCTCCAAACATCCCATCCTACGCTTGGTAGTAATTTGGTGCTTGCCCTTAGAAGTAAATCCTTTGGCTTAAGATAAATATCTAACCTGTATTTTCCTTTTATTTCACTTCTTGTTATAACTTCACTTTGTGATCTTCATAGCAAAAGATGAAGTAGGTCATTAGTAGATACGTCAAATTAGCCTGGAGAAATTAGCCTGGGGAAAAGGAGGCTCAGGAAGGACCTTGTGGTTCTCCACAACTCCCTGACAGGAGGGGACAGCCAGGTGGGGGTCAGGCTGTGCTCCCAGGGAACAAGGGACAGGAGGAGAGAAACAGCTTCAACTTGTTCCAGTGGAGGTTCATGTTGGATATTAGGGGGAAAGTCTGCCTGGAAGGGGTTGTCAAGCCCTGACACAGGCTGCCCAATGCATTGGTGGAGTCACCATCCCTGGAAATATCTGAAAAACATGTGAATGTGATACTTAGGGACACAGACTTTATGATCTTAAAAGTCTTTTTCAGCCTAAACAATTCTGTGATTCTAGGAAACGCTAATGACAGGGTGGGTTGGAGATGTTACAGCACCATGTGCACTGATGGTCAGTCTAGGCAATATTCTACTCTCCCAAAGCTTCACAAACTGACATTTTTTTCTTCAAGATGTCAAATCTTGAATTAAAAAGTCTACTCCTTTATGAGAGCTCCTGACCTGTACCCAGTGCAGGCAACCCTTATGCTTTCAGAAAGAGAACAAAACATTGATGTATCCTTATAGACTAAAAGCTGCTGGTGAAATTATTCATCCTTGATGCCAAAGCAGAGCTATTCCTATGAAACTGATCAAAAACTTTTTATGAGCTCCATTGTCTGCTGAAGTGCTCTCAGTACATAGATTAAAAGAGCAAATCAAAGCAACTCCCTAGTTAAGCAAACTCCCAACCAGCCTACTAGTTCAAAGCCACAAGTCTGAACAAAAGGTCTGTTTTTTTCATTGGAAAGCATTAGCAATGTATGTCTGCAATAAATCACATGAGATGTAAAGACAATGACTCACTTCATTATCTTCAAAGTATGAGAACAAAATATTCTGCTGAGACAAAAGTCCCTCAGAAATGCTGATACCCGCTGCACTTTGCTCTCTGGTGGCAGCAAGGAACAATAAAACAATTCCAATAAACTTCTGCAAAAACAGAACTGCAGAGATTACAGGATTGTAGTCTGGACTTCTGTGTTATACACCCTCATCTTATAGCTCCAAAAAGGCTCCCTTTGAGGAACAGGCCTGCAAATTAAACCTAATGTCTCAAAATTAAATATGTGCAGAGCTGAGGAGCAAACATGCCAGCAGTAAAAGTTCTGGTGGCCAGGAGGAAGGAACCCAGTGGGACACGGCAATTGTTTCTGTGGATAATCACAAGGGTTAGTTCAATACATTCCAAAACTGACACCTCTACTACAAGCAATAAAACCCTGCAAAATCTTCATAACTTGACACTGTGCCATCCCAGGAAATTTCTAATTTAATTCAGCCAGAATTACTGCTTACTGCCCACAAGCCACATTCCTTCCTTGAAGCTGCCTGAACACTTACATTGAACAGGTCTGTTTTGTCTGCTCTATCAGGCAGCCACAGGTGACAGGAACCAATTTCTCCTAAAATGATCAAAAATCCTGACTCTAATGCATGAAATAAACATAGTTGACAAAAGCTCAGAAACACAACCATGATGCCACAAAGCCCCTGCCCAAGGACACAGTCCTGCTGGTGAAGCATTCCTGTCAGGAGTCCCAGGGAATTACTTGGAATAACCTAGACCAAAAGCTGAGATTTATTAATCCTGATACACTATTACTTCCAGAATTACACAAGGAGAAATATGCAGCAGTAAAATTCAAACTGCATTGAACTGTGGTGTAGCAAAGGAAGTTCCAAAATGGGGTTTTATTTTTACTATCCCATCATCCAAAATCCACATTGGAATGCCAGGATGAACTGCAAAGGCATAGAGAACACTGAAGTTAGTGACAACTAAGTCTTTTCAATTAAAGATTTGCCACACAAATCATAGAGAATCTTAATCTTTACTGCCTTGACTGTGTAATTGGCACACAAGAAACACTGAGGGGCTGGAGCGTGTGTAGATATGAGAATGGAGCTGGAGAAAGGTCTGGAGCACCAGGAGAGGCTGAGGGAGCTGGGAAGGGGCTCTGCCTGGAGAAAAGGAGGCTCAGGGGGGAGCTTGTGGCTCTGCACAACTCCTGACAGGAGGGGACAGCTGAGGGGGTTAGGATCTGCTCCCAGGAACAAATGATAGGACAAGAGCAAACAACATCAAGCTGTGCCAGGGAAGGTTTAGGCTGGACATCAGGAAGAATTTCTTCCCTGGAAGAGTGGTGAAGGGTTAGAACAGGCTGCTCAGGGCAGTGGTGGAGACACCAACCCTGGAAGTGTTCAAAAAATCAGTTGACATGGCCCTTAGGGATATGGTTTGGTGGGCATGGGGGGATTAGCTTAAAGGTTAGACTTGATGGTTCTGAAGATATTTCACAGGGCTAATGATTCTGTGATAAGCAAATACCATCAGTACTGGTTGCCAACAAAAACTGCCCCAGGTTTTAATCCATGTTCCCTTCCTGAATGTTTGCTGTTAGGACAGGCTGGGGAGTAAGTTCTTCTGCAGCCAGGCAGGACCACAGCCTGGCCCAGAGACCTGGACTGAACAGGGCCAGAAGGGACAGCTCACCTGGACCAGCAGCCACAGATGCTTACATGGGAGTTTGCTCTCTGATAGAGCACATTCCACAGATGAATTAGACTTAAACTGTGCATGAGTGCTTAAAAAAAAACCCCAAAAAACAAAAAGCCAACAAGCCAAAAAAGTTGTATTTAACAGACCCAGCTTCCAGGCAGAGAATGTGGTGATATACCAGTTTAGCATCACCCTGCAGCCAGGCAGTTTGTGAAGACAGACTGACTAACGCAGATCAATCCATGATATACCACTGAGGCCACAACTAATCAGACATGGAACTGAGATAAAGTCACACAAATCAGACACAAAATTCCAAGCAAATAAACAAATAGCTCTTCAATTCCTAGCAATTAAGGATTTTAATTTGCAAAAATACTTCTTGCCCAGCATGACCAGCCCAACTGTGTAATTTTAGTATGCTACAAAATAACAAGTAAACGCTGGAGTTTTGTAGGTATTGTTTCAGTTACTGTTTCAGTTTGGAGACAAATTGATGAGAAAACGCTCTGAAATGAGTGTTTCCTCTAAAGAGGAGGGCTCCAGTAATCCAGTAATGGAAACCAGTGGGCGAAAGTGAAAAAACCCCAAACTGTTTATTAATGAAGAAAAAACCCAAGAGGTGCCCGCAAGGCACCGAAAATGAGTGTACAAATGGCAGATCTGGAGTTTCAATGCCTTAACCCCCATCCCCCAGCAGAGCGCCGGCCGGAGGCAGCGATGGCGCTGCCCCCTTTGTCTCCGGGAACGGGAGAGCAGAGCGCACGCAGCCCCTCGGGAGGAACAGACGGGAACCTTTCCGGCACTGGACTCTTCCTCACAGCAAAACCCCCCTGGTTTTTAGCGTCCTCTCTTGTGTTGGTTTAGCTTCTCCGAGATCGGTTCGGGGCGGCCCAGCTCCCTGGACGGGCCGAAAAAAACCCCAACATCGAAAGAGTTCAAGGAAAACAAACATAAAAGCTGCCAAGAGGATTCCCGGTACAGGCTCCAGGCTAGAGGAAGGGGAATAAAACCTTGTTTCAAGCTGGCAAACAGCTAATCCAACAGCAGGGTCAGTGCGGCGCTCCGGGCCGCCCGCAGCCCGAGCGCGGTTGACCCGAGCCGCGCAGCTCCGCGCCCCTGCCCGCCTCGTCCCAGGGCTACAGCCGCCGTTCGGGGGCATAAAGCAGACCACTGGGGAACAAAGTATCATCGTAAAATCACCCCATAACAATTGCAAAACAAAGCTGCTCCTTTGTGTATGTGGACAAACCGGCATCAGCTCAGACCCCAGGAGTTACCACAGCTGTGCTGAAAGAAAATACAACCCTCCAGCTGCTTGGAAATTTTTATGGCGGAGCTGATTTAGAAAGCGAATAAATGATCTTTTCATGTGTCCCTAAGTCATTAACGTGGAACCCTACTTCTGCATTCAGCAGCTCTAGTTTGCTGCTAGATTTAAATTAAAGCCATACCATGCAGATCAGCTGGGACACGGCAGTGGGGAAGCTCATGTAGAAACCCAAAACTGAAGGAAGGAACAGCATTAAGATCCATTTGTTGTAACAGCCAACAGAACAAGGTCCCTAAAACGATGCTGTTAAATTGCATGAGGAAAACTGATTTAAGAACATGCTCTAAAAGCCTTTATGACATCATACAATCTCTCCTTACCAAGGAAGACAGAAAACTGTCAGAGCATTCCTACTCTTGCTGTACCTCCATCTCTTGTGCATATTCTATTCTCAGGCCATGGTTCACATCAACATTCAAATAATAGAACTTTTATTTTTTAAAAAGTCAACATTTGCAGAGATTTTACAAACATTTCATAGTGTCATTTGTTTCCATGCTTAGTTATTTAACTGCAAAGGTGAAGTTACTGCAAGTTGCTTCTTCCAGCTTCAGAAATTAGTGAATTTCAGTCACTAGCAAAAAATTACATTTAAAACAAAATATTTTAAAATGTGATAGTAGTATTACTGAAATAATTGCAAGCATTATTTTCCATTAATGAGAAGAACCTTGAAGACACAAACAAGAATCATCATGCCTTGTAAAGAGACTTCCAAAGGCACAGAAGAATTTGTACACCAAAGAATCCATAAACTCACAAAGCACTGTGCTGTAAGTCTTTAAATCCTGACAGCTTTCCATCCTCCCCAGATAACAGGATTCTGTAATTTGAAAAGAAATCTGGGTCTACATAGTGGCCTTGGCTTCAGATTTAGCTCTTCAAATAAACCAAACCTTGAAGTGCAGGTAATCTCTAACGAGCAGGGTAACACCTTAAAAAAATAAAGCAATGCAGAGGTGAAGATCTTGTCACATTTATAAAGAAAAATTATTTAGTCACATTGGCTTCCCCCCCCCACCCTTTTTACACAGCACTGTTATTAAAAGCTGGTTTAGAGCTTTATCTAATAGCTAGGTAAGTAGCAAAGATACAAACATCAAATGCATGAGCTTAACCTATAAAGTAGGGAAAAATTATTCTTTATTGCTCTCAGGCAGATCCTGAGGCATTGTGATGTCACAGGAGAGAGTCGGACTTTCTTCAGCAGCCCAGTGCTCGCCTGGTTCAAACTCCATTGCACCTTTTCCCACACCAATCCTCCAGGCAGCAGCAGCAACATGCCCATCCACTGCTGAACTCTGACTGAAACACTAGAGCTCAGGTTGGAACACAGCAGACCAACAGTACAGGACAATTAATTATCATACAATTCTCATAAAGACAGGTTACAGTTACCCACATCACAGCCAGCTCAGCAAGCTGCAGAGGAAGGATGGGAAGGGCCTGTCAGCCCCAACACTGGGATGTGACACCATCTGAAGGCCATGCTGGAGGAGCCTGAGGCCATTTGGAATCAGTCTGGGCCACAGCTGAGTGCTCACACATGACCATGGTGGCTGATATGCCTCAGCTTCAGCTGGGGATGAATTTTCCCCAGGAGCTCCAGCACTTTGCAGCATCTCCAAGCTGTTTTTGTGAGGGATTTTTGAGAGATTGTTCTTGGCTTCTGTCATGAATCTTATAAAAATTTGCCAGAGGAGGTTTAGACTGGATATTAGGGAAAGGTTCTTCCCCCAGCAGGTAGTCAGGCACTGAACAGGCTCCCCAGGGAATGGTAACAGGCCCTAGGCTGCCAGAGCTCCAGGAGTATTTGGACAGCAATCCCCAAGGGGGGATTGTTGAGGCATCCTGTGCAGGGCCAGGAGTTGGAGTTGATTTGCTCCCTTCCTACTCAGC